AACAATATAAATAAATGTTTGGTATGAATAATAAAGGGAAATTTCTTTTGAACACAAGCATGATTTGAAAACTGATTTTCCGAGTTTCGAAATCGTCTGTTTTCTTTGTCGAGTATTTTTTTTTCATTTCAGAATATTTATTGTTCAGATCTTAGATACAAAGGAATTGGGCAACAGGCAAAGCCTATGAGCGCCCTCTCCTTACAGTTATAAACAGTTTACACACATCATATTGAAATGAAGTAATGATAAAACATGTATATTATGTACATGAATATTGATATTTGCATGTCATTATTAATTTTTTTAATAATTGTTGTACAAAAACTAGATTTTCCAAAAAAATGGCAATTAAAATGATGCTGGTGGACAGAGCACATAGTAAAAGTATGTACTGGTATCATTCCACACAGCAAAGTCATGAGATAAACAAGTAAGTGTTATCTAGTTAAAGCGTCTTGTATCTTTAACGAATCTCTTAACCATCTCCAAGATACTTATGTTCATATTGATATAAAGTCTTTGACATCCATAAAGAAAAATTTGGGTATTTAATGGAATAATGTCATTAAAAGCAGAAATGGAGTTCATGAGAATTTGCCTTTGATTAGTATACAGAGTACAATGGAAGAAGAAGTGATCACAGTCCTCAACAGGAGAACTACATAAGCAGGCAGGGGTATCAATTAGGTGAGATTCAAATAGATCTGAATTCAGGTTACTGGCACAGTTTCTAAGTTGACATAAGGTAATATTAAATTTTCGATCACCATTGTATTTAAAAATATCAGTACATTGGGGTTGAGAATCCATTTCATCTGAGTGTAAAAAATCTCTTTTTATAGATCCAATGGATGTCATTGTGGGATACAGGCAAGTTGGATTATTCCATTCAGACATCAGTTTCGGGAAAAAACTGGCATTATATAACTGAGTTCTTGGTATAGGAACATCAAAAATTCTATTGTGGCGAAGATGATAATTGTCAGTATTATCATTAATGTACGGTTGAATTATATCATAGACATGAGAGGGACATTTCCTATTATATATTTTATAAAAAGTAATATTTTGATGCAAATGTCTTCTTCTATTAAGTGTTATAAAACCAGATTCTCTATATAAGATAGCATGACTTGTTCCACGTCTTAACCCTAAGATAATACGTGCTGCTTCTAGTTGGATAGACTCCAAGACACTGCATTCATTCTGCGTGCAGTTTGCCCATATAATATTTGCATATTCCAGAATTGGACGTATAAATGTGATATATATAGTTTCGAGTGATTTTCTATCAATTTTGTATTTCAACATTCTAAGTATATTAATTCTTTTATAAGCTTTTTCGTATATATAGTTTATGTGGTTAGACCAATTAGCCTTGCTGTTGAAAAACAAACCTAGGTGTTTATGATTAGAAACATTAATAATTGATGATTCATCAAAATATAGGTTAGGATGCAGTGTCTCAGAGTCAACCCGCCTCGAGAAGAGCAGGGCTACAGTTTTATCTGGATTAAAGATAATTCCCCATGTTCTAGCCCAGATTGAAATTTTCCTCAGATCATCATTTAATATATTAGCACATTCTTGCCTGTCTCCCTCAATGAGACCATATAAGGAGGTATCATCAGCAAATAGTTTGAAGTTTGAGGCCAATTCATCACCAATATCATTAATATATAGTAAAAACAAAAAAGGACCAAGGACTGAACCTTGGGGTACCCCTGCCTGTAATGTTTTCCAGTTAGACTTATACCCATCTATGACCACTCTCTGTTGCCTATCATGAAGGTATGATGTAAACCATTCTAACATATTATTACATATACCATATTTTTTTAGTTTATAAATTAGACCGTCATGCCAAACTCTGTCAAAGGCTTTGCTAATATCACAGAAAATCATTCTGGCCTCTTTGCCTTTGTCTAAATGTTTTACAATTTCATCGTATATAATTAATAGCTGATACACTGTGGAATCCTTAGGTAAAAAGCCTGACTGATTCTTAGAAATAATGTTATATCTTGAGAGGTAATTGAACATATACTTAAAAACATTTTTTTCAAATAGCTTGCTAAATATAGGGGTAACAGATATTGGTCTATAGTTGGATGGATCACTTTTATCTCCCTTGCCCTTATAAATTGGGGTAACATGAGCATTTTTCCATCTATTTGGTAGCTTTCCGGTAGAAATAGATTTGTTGAATAAGAGATAGAGTGGTTTCACAAGAGATTGGGAAACCCCTTTTATGAATTTTGGAGGGATACTATCAGGGCCTGAAGGTTTATTAGTATTGAGTAGATCGAGCTGATCAAGAATGTCCTGTTCGGTTATGTCTATTGTTGAGAAGCTATGTCGGGGTCGGGGGCAATCAGGAGGTAAATCGTCAGCATTCTTTTCAGTTACGGAAATCGAAGTGAAATAATCGTTAAAAGATTCCGCCTTATCTATGGGGTGGATTTTCAGTTCGCCGTTGATAATCAATGGAGAGTCATTTTCGTTTTTGTTTTTGAGATTCATAACCGATTTTGCAATACGCCACCATTTTCCGGGGGGTATGGTTTTATCAATTAAAGAAGATTGAAGTTTAGATAAATATTTTTCTTTAGCTTCCCGGACTAAGGATATAACTTCATTCCGAATAGATCTAAATTTTGCCCAGGAAGATGGAGTATTATGTAGCTTAGCTTTGGAATGCTGGCGATTTCTTTGTCTAATTTTGAGTCTGATACCATTAGTCATCCAAATTTTATCATTAGGTCTTATAGTTACTGTTTTATGGGGCACGAATAGGTCGATAGCAGTTAGGATTTTATCAGTTAAAAAAGAGTTCATATTTTCAATATCACCTTGTTATAAAAGTTTCCAGTCAATGGACTTAAGATACTCATTTGCCCCGGCAAAGTCAGTGTTATTGAAGTATAATAAAGTCTTTTTATGTGCATGTTTCTTTAAAGTTTTAAATTTCAGATCAGCGCTAACTGGACAGTGATCACTACAAGAGGGAGGATGTATATTGTATTTTTAATAAAATTAACATTGTTTGTTAGTATGGTGTCAAGTGATGTTGAGGTCTGGGAAGTAATCCTGGTAGGTTCAGTAACAGTGTTTTCTAACCCATATTTCAACAAAATTCTATTTAGATGTGAGTTTGGATTTAGATGTAACATGTCTTGATTTATATCACCTACCAGGACTACTTCCCTTTGCAGATCAATAATATTATTTAGGTTAATATCTAGCCTGTCCCAGTAGCCAACTAGAGAGTTAGGGGGTCTATATATACAGCCAAGAAAAATAGGTTTATTATGGGTAGTTACTTCAGTCCATATTAATTCAAGATCATCTGTCTCAAGGTCAGGTTTACGTTTAATATTAATATTATGTTTAGTATAAATCAGAACTCCGCCACCATAATTATCTCTATCCTTTCTAAAAATATTACCAAAGTTTTCCAAAGATACAGCACTATCAGGAATTGAATTATCAAGATGAGTTTCAGAGACGCACAGTATATCGTATTCGGAAAATTCAGCATCAAGAATATGAGTTTTGTTCCTTAACGAACAAATATTGATATGACAAATAGAAATAAAATCTAGGTGGATGTGGGAGTTGGGTGGACCGGGGTTCGGGTGAATATCACCGCATATGGATAGTATTAATAATAAAATAAAAATGTAGTGCAAATTCAGAGAGAATAGATTCAGAGAGACACTAACGATACATAAACATTTATAAAGTAGTGAGTCATTCCCTGCCGTTACAGCACCAAGGTAGTTTGTTGTTTTATCCATTGTCAAAAAGGAAACGAATATGTAGAAAATACATCCTGGTAGAGTAAGAGCAGAGAATGACACAGATAGGTTTTAAGGAAGATACACGGGATATAACAATATTTAAGTTGTGTAAACAAGATTGACATGCATAACTGTTTATATTCTGAAAACACAATTTGCCTTGGCGAAGTAAACACATTGACAAATGAGAACAAAAAACAATATAAAAATAGATGATAAACATAAACATTATTTACATTAACCTTTAGGATCCATATAAAAAATGACTGTGATACAAAAATGAAATGTAAGAAAAAACAGTTATATAAATATCGAGTGACCCGCCTCACTGACCCCATACCGTATGTTGATTACTCGATAGACGTGACGTTACCTGTTGAGAGTAGAACAATCCTACATAACATCGCATGCATTTTCACGAACTCAGGGGTCAGTGACACGGATCAGCCGGTATCCTTCCAATTTACGCATTCGATCGGATGGTACAGATTATTAATATTACGAATTAAGTGTGAAGCTACCGATCATTAAATTATACATTTTCTGTAATGAATTATTATGATACATTTTATTAACTAGCGCATATGACAATAAGACACCGAAAATTAAGAGTGCAATAATGTTATTAGGAACACTTTATAATAGGTATAGATAATATACTATCGTTCTTCATGTTCAATAGACAGCAATGCATGCCCAAATTTAAACGTGGCATTAAAAAGTTATTTACAAACCATGTGAATATGATAGTACCCTGCGGCATGTCTTTGACTGTAAGGATACCTGACCGCATAAACGCATCTGTAATAAACATACATACATGCATGCATGCATACATACATACATACCTACATACCTACATACATACATACATACATACAAACATACTTTATGTACTTTAAGCAGATATCAGGCAGTTTATGTACAAAATACATCTTTTATATAGTATCTATCGACACTGATACGAGTTCACGGGTACACCTATGGCACATCAATGGTTGCTTACTTTTATACAGTAATATCTGTAAGTATACCTTTTCGACATTTGAGTATTTAGTGAAGTAAAAGGTAGCCATGACCCAATACCTACGTGTACCATATCAAGCAATGAACCTTATAGACATGAAGGAAGTAAATTATATTGTTATAGCAGAGAGCAGACATTTTACTCATTATTTCTAGTCAAAGATAAATTGATATGAAATCTATGGTTATACCAGTCATGCCATCTAATGGTAAGTACACTATATGGAATATAAACATTCAGTGATACACACGGATTGTTATTGATTATATGTGATGGGAATTAAATTCAATTATCAAAGGTATGTGGCGTAACCTATTAATGTGTAAGAAATCAAATTGGCATAACATGAACATATCACGTTCTTTATGACAAAATCAAGTTCATTATTATTTGCAGTTTTGCCTGTTTACATAATTAGACGACAGTGATATACTGGATAAGGTGATCTGGAAATTCACAATAGCAATTCACTTCCTGATATATCTATTTATAAACCTTACTAATATTAGGATTTTTCCTTCAGGTGAACATAGGTGTGACTATTAGTTGTTGACAGCACTAATATCGGATTGTCTGTCTGCAGTGGAGGTAAGTATATTCTCTTGTTTCAAATTCTATTTGTTTTTAATTTCGATCGAACTACATTCCCATTACTTAATTGTTTTGAGCTTATAATATCCACACTTCATTAATTGAAAGTTTGTTTGCTCGCTAAGACACTTGGGTACAAGATGAGTTCTAGTTTAAAAACTTAACACGGATTGTGAATGCACGATAACACTGGCACTTCATTTCAAATAAAAACATGTGTTAAAACTAGGAAGTCAACAACAGCTGTGCACCGTATCATAGGGGTGGACTCTTTCAGGTCGAGTAGACTTTTTGTCGAGTAATCTATCACAATTATTAGTATCTGTTAACGGTAGTGGCTTACTTGGTGTACAAGATAGACGTTTTACGTTTGGAATGATATAGAATTTATGTATGATTTTTTGATTGAATACAGTTCACTTTTAATACATGATGTATGGACATTTTTAATACACTCACATATTCTCTGTTTAAGTAAACGTACTTCACGGTAGAGGTTTACTCTATGGCGTAGATTCGCAGGGAAATGGACGTTTCAATATTTATAAGCAGATTGAACAGCACATCTGATGTGGTACAGATTCTCTCTTCATATTATCAGAACATTTACTTGACATTTTGTCGATTTAGGTAAAAAATATAACATATACAAGTGTATAGTAAAAATGCTAATTGAAGAAGAAAATGCATTTCTGTTATGAATATATCAAATACAGAATGATGTAATTCATCATAACGTGTTTGTATGTATATTGTTTATTAATTATCTTGATATGGACAATTGAGTTCAATATGATGGCAGGCCAAAATATGCAGATAGCAAATAAGTGTAATACTTTATTCTAAAAGTAAAACGACATAACACATCAATTTTCCTGTTATTCATGAAATGTGTTTTGAATTCAGATACGTGAGTTGTTGATGGGTTGATATTAAGGGTATGGAGTTGTTCCGTGGCTTTCCTGATCAAATACAAATGATTAAAAGATCAAATATTTACCATTTTAATATTCTCTAAATACGGAAGTCATGTGATCGAACACCTCTGGGTGATATAGGCATATTCTATATATGAGTAAACCAAATCAAATATGTTGCCTAGAACAAAAGCTGGCATAGATCTTGTTGTAACAATTTTAGAGTACTTAGAATTAAGATATATCCATTCGGGAAATCAAATGACAAGGAAATTAATAAAAGAAACCGGGAAATTTTTCCTTAAGCTGTTTCTGCTGAGTTTGTTAATTTTAACTGTGTTTTAATTATATAAAATATCTAAACAAAACAGCTGCACCTGTAATTAATATGTATGTATTAACGTTAACGTGTTATTGTTTATCTATGACATGTAAAACAATTTACAATGAAAGTTTATTAATAAGATACCAAAGTATACAGAAACCCATGATTAGAGCTCAAAATCTAATTCAATATAGCAAAATATGAACAAATGGAAAAGCTATAAAAATATTTTAAAACAAGTAACAAGAAGAATAAAGACCGTGCTATTTAGAGGGACAAGCGTCTGCTTCTATATCAAAGCGAAAGTATGTCTAGAATATACGACATCCGAAAAAGAGTTTTGAAAACGTTTTCTAAATACACAAAACAGGATTTTGTCACTAAAATGATTGAGTTTGTGAATATAACCGTCAGTAACACAATCTGTCCAGATTATCACAGTGTATCTATCAGTAAGAATTCAGAACAAAGAAGGGAAACACACGTATACTTACACAGCCCTCCTATAGTCGACACTGAATCTGCGTCGCTATCAGATTATTTAAAAAAACTAATTTTTAAACCAGGAAGTCATCGTGTATCAAAGTGAATGAGCACAATTAGCGTGAATGTTTTGAGTATTCAATTACAGGTGAAAAGAAGTAAATATATATATGCCATTGGCATGTTTTAAAATGTTTCCTTACCACTACTCTATAATGCCCCATTTAATACTTATATCAAATTGCATTTGAACAACAATATATTTTACCAATATAGTTTGTATTTTATACAGAGGCAGGCATGCGTCGAATGTAAGAGTTCTCTCTCTAATCTTCTGTCTGTCTGTCTGTAATGTACAATATCTCAGTGTATCAATGTCATGCTGCCGTTGCTGTTCTAGAGTACTGTTAGTATTAATGTTATGCTGCCGTTGCTGTTCAAGCATACTGTTAGTATTAATGTCATGCGGCCGTTGCTGTTCTAGAGTTCTGTTAGTATTAATGTCATGCTGCGGTTGCTGTTCTAGAGTACTGTTAGTATTAATTTCATGCTGCCGTTGCTGTTCACGAATACTGTTAGTTTTAATGTCATGCTGCCGTTGATGTTCTAGAGTACTGTTAGTGTTAATGTCATGCTGCCGTTGATGTTCTAGAGTACTGTTAGCGTTGATGTCATGCTGCCGTTACTGTTCAAGAATACTGTTAGTATTAATGTCATGCTGCCGTTGCTGTTCTAGAGTACTGCTAGCGTTGATGTCATGCTGCCGTTGCTGTTCAAGAATACTGTTAGTATTAATGTCATGCTGCCGTTGCTGTTCTAGAGTACTGTTAGTATTAATGTCATGCTGCCGTTGCTGTTCTAGAGTACTGTTAGTATTAATGTCATGCTGCCGTTGCTGTTCTAGAGTACTGTTAGTATTAATGTCATGCTGCCGTTGCTGTTCTAGAGTACTGTTAGTATTAATTTCAAGTTCAGAATTCGTTTTTTTTTTTTTATTAAATTTCACCGTTCACACTGATTGCTTGAATTGGTGTTAACACAATAAATAACATAAATATTTTCATTATGTATTCATAAACATGAGACGTTTTACAATCGCAATATGATAATGTCTTCAATGTTGAACTCATTGGACCGTACCATCTTTAATACTCTTTTACAGGGGTCGGTGCACTTGAAATTACATCTACGATGAGATATTTCACTTAGTTAAGTGACTCATGGCAAGGAAAATGGAGGACAAATCTGTTGATGAGATGTGCAGAACAATAGATAAACTCAAAGAAATTATTATTCTCGTTGAAGCCAATTATGTCATCGAGCAGACAAAAGTCGATTCCCCTTACATGACAAAGCTGACATCTGTCTCAGACAAACTTAATATGATAAGGTCTACCGTGGATGCACTTCTCACAAAGATCCCACAACCTCAAACTAGAAAGCATAGAGGAAGAGGTAAATATTTGATAAACAGAGAGGAAGAGGTAAATATTTGATAAAAAGAGAGGAAGGGGTAAATATTTGATAATCAGAGAGAAAGGGGTAAATGTTTGATAAACAGAGAGAAAGGGGTAAATATTTGATAAACAGAGAGGAAGGGGGTAAATATTTGATAAACAGAGAGGAAAGGGGGTAAATATTTGATAAACAGAGAGGAAGAGGTAAATATTTGATAAACAGAGAGGAAGGGGTAAATATTTGATAATCAGAGAGGAAGGGGTAAATATTTGATAAACAGAGAGGAAGGGGAAAATATTTGATAAACAGAGAGGAAGGTGTAAATATTTGATAAACAGAGAGGAAGGGGTAAATATTTGATCAACAGAGAGGAAGAGGTAAATATTTGATAAACAGAGAGGAAGGGGTAAATATTTGATAAACAGAGAGGAAGGGGTAAATATATGATAAACAGAGAGTAAGGGGTAAATATTTGATAAACAGCGAGGAAGGAATAAATATTTGATAATCAGAGAGGAAGGGATAAATATTTGATAAACAAGGAGGAAGGGGTAAATGTTTGATAAACAGAGAGGAAGGGGTAAATGTTTGATAAACAGAGAGTAAGGGGTAAATATTTGATAAACAGAGAGGAAGGAATAAATATTTGATAAACGGAGAGGAAGGGATAAATGTTTGATAAACAGAGAGGAAGGGGTAAATGTTTGATAAACAGAGAGTAAGGGGTAAATATTTGATAAACAGAGAGGAAGGAATAAATATTTGATAAACGGAGAGGAAGGGATAAATATTTGATAAACAGAGAGGAAGGGGTAAATGTTTGATAAACAGAGAGTAAGGGGTAAATATTTGATAAACAGAGAGGAAGGAATAAATATTTGATAAACGGAGAGGAAGGGATAAATATTTGATAAACAGAGAGGAAGGGGTAAATGTTTGATAAACAGAGAGTAAGGGGTAAATATTTGATAAACAGAGTGGAAGGGGTCAATATTTGATAAACAGAGAGAAAGGGGTAAATATTTGATAAACAGAGAGGAAAAGGAAAATATTTGATAAACAGAGAGGAAGGGGTAAATATTTGATAAACAGAGAGTAAGGGGTAAATATTTGATAAACTGAGAGGAAGGGGTAAATATTTGATAAACTGAGAGGACGGGGTAAATATTTGATAAACTGAGAGGAAGGGGTAAACATTTGATAAACTGCGAGGAAGGGGTAAACATTTGATAAACTGCGAGGAAGGAATAAATATTTGATAAACTGCGAGGAAGGGGTAAATATTTGATAAACTGAGAGGAAGGGGTAAATATTTGATAAACTGAGAGGAAGGGGTAAATATTTGATAAACTGCGAGGAAGGGGTAAATATTTGATAAAGTGAGAGGAAGGGGTAAACATTTGATAAACAGAGAGGAAGGGGTAAATACTTGATAAACTGAGAGGAAGGGGTATATATTACATATATCACATATTCAAACAATGATGTATTTTTCATTTTTTTACTTAACTGTTGCTTATTGTTTTTGCAGAGAGGAAAGATAGAGACAGTGGTTTATCGTCAGTTGATTCAGCTGTTCTCGGTACGTATGGTAAAGCCTCACCTGTATTTTATATACATTTCTGTTTATACATAGGTATCAAATGCACAACTTTAAAGATCAATTCTCAACAAAATTTGTCTCAGGTAATCGAAATATTATTCATTATTAATTTTATAATTTTAGTTAAATTTCTTTTTAAATCATTAAACATGCAATGAAGTTAAATTTTTATTATAGGAAGCAGAGATAGCAGTGTTCTAGAAGGCGGCAATGGACTTGGCTCTTTAGGTATGTGAATAAAAACATTGTTTTTGAATGTTCTGTATCGAATATACAGTTTTAAACAATCAAGAATGTACAAGTATAAATTATTCAGTTTTAGTTTTTATCTAAAAATGGATTCGTCAGCTAAATCGAAGTTGAAGTCTATGCATGAACATTTTGTAATTTTAACCTAATTTTCCATTTTAGTGCTTGAGGAGAAAAGTGTCTCTACAGATAACTTACGTAAGTACAGAACTATATTTGTTAATAAGACGTGTCACATAATCTGAACAAAACGTTTGATAAGCTGCAGATACATGAACATATATGTAAATGGCGAAATACCGGTTTATACCATTTAACGAATTATGACCTGGCATTTCTCTGGAGAATAGAACATCTCTCCAGACACGTGTATCATTAGTTAGTACCCAACACACAAAATCAATTATTACACTTGCCTAAAGCAGCAATTCATTTAACTTTAGATTCAACAAATGAAAAGAACAATTATTTTTCTACTTTCTATGATACCACTGTTGGTATCTTAAAAACAATTGATCTGCCAGTGTGCTAGGAGACAGTTTTAATAATATCAACGCAACCTTTTTTTAAGCTATGATAGAGTTCCTACACAAACCGATATATAACACCAAAAGTGCATGCAATAAAATCAACAGAGAAAACAACACTATTAGCTGTTTTACGTAGAATAGTCCGAATTTATTTTAACACATGACCCATGTACAGCCAAAGTAGGTTTAACTATGTATTAACCAAGACGAGATATTACAATTTATTTACACTTCTACTTACAGATCAGCAATGCCCATCCTGCTTTCAGAAGGTTCTTAATCCATTGCAAGAAACAGAGAGTCCACAAAACATGCCACCAGGAAAGGAAGCAGCTGAGAACCCGAGCTCCGATGATGAAAACATTTAGCAATACTCGGAACATTAAAAGCTGTTGTGGTTCCTTCAGCAAAGAAGAAATTGTGCTGTAATTTATATCGAGTATGTTGCATGCTTGCAAAATAATAATACTAACACATATCTTTGCAAACGACGCTTTTAACGATACAAGAAAAGTGAATCACAATTAGAGACAAATAGAAGAAATGTATGTCATCTTGATGGATTTCTAGGATGTTTGAAACTAACCTCAATTGTGACATTATGCAAAAAAATAATTTGAGTTTGGCAGAATTGACTGATCTGATTATTTATTTGGTTATTAATGTTTTCATGTTGAGGAATTGTGCTTTCAAATCATTTGAGCAGTGTCCTTTATTGTACGTGACACATTGCGGCGCAGACGATGGTGAGATACATTGTAGTTATGTGGATATGTTCCCCTTCTGTAAGGGCGCTTCCTGTGGATACTAAGCTCTACCAAGACATTTGTGGCGTACACGGCGAAAGTATAGGACAATGGTACTTAGTAAAACTAAAGAGATGTGCCCGCAATATGCCAGGACAATGATGGTATCGAAAAAAAGCAATTTCCGGACTTCTCCAAAGGTTGGTCATATAATGACCGAACGAACAAAAGCGGAAGCCAAGAATCAAACTGTCATATAAACAACTAACTAGTATGTTAACAAAGCTTTGAGACATAACATGTTGATCAAATCAACAAAAAAGGTCATGACATTGTGTGTAAATCGATGAAAACGTGTAGAAGTGTTATTAACATATATGCATGTGCATTGTATGATGTGTGAACCTATGTCTTGTTTGTTTACGGAGTGGTGAAGCTGATTGTAGGTGTGATATACTGCTATATACGTAACAAAGTTAAACGTTTGTAGACAGAACACCAAATTGAAATATGTTCATGTAATAAACAAGTTAACTAACATACAAAGTATTTAACCAAATACTATATCTCCACAGTTTGCTAATTGTTAAGCAAAGTTTAATAGAATGGCATTTTTGATGGTCTTATAAACCAACAAAAAGAACACTATTATTAACTCACTCATTTTAGTGCACTCAAATCAATTTGTTATGCATTTTTGAATTATAATAGATTAGCGCAATTACGAATCGGCACACTCCCAAAATATGCCGTAAAGATCAATATACAAGAACTTTGATTGGTGCATTAGTAACTTCTCGCAATAACTGAAGCACGAAAAGCGATAAGAAATTACTACCGCTTTTGTACATTTACAATATCTATTATGTTGAAAGCTTTGCACACTTATGCTTCAAATGCATATACATGAAAATATCCATGCACTTGTTTTACTTATTAACTTGTCCGCCAATTATGTGATGAGGTATATTTGGCTTAAACAGAAAATAATATGTCTCGTAATTATTTTTTTAATTCCAAATATAATATAATAATGTATAATATTTCTTAACTTCCAAGTTAAATGTTTAGAGATGTTGCGACAGCATACTGCAGAGTTGTCTTTAGACAGCATGATGAAAGTTTGTGTTAAGACAACAAACCTGAAGAATTTGAAAGAAACCATAAAATAGGGATACGAGTAAACAACATAAAAAAGAATTGTACTGAAAACCCCAAATATTGCTGTATACATCATATATGGTTGAGTTTAGACAAAAGTATACAAGGAAGTGTTTAAAAAAATATTTACCAGAGAGTTGTTTGGGGTCGGTATTAAGTAACCTGAAACAGGGATATGTTGATTACAGCGTTACACGATACGTGTTGTTATTTATTCATTCTAAATTACATTGTTATCATTTATCGCTTCATATATTACATACAGTATATAAATTGAATTTCCTGATAAGCTGTATTTATGAAATAACACTGTAAATTAAACTAGAAATAATTTCTACGACTTTTCTAGATTTATTTTCTGAAAGGAAACAAAATAAAGATTTCATATACCGGAGGAAAATATCATTCTCTCTTGAAAACCCCCTGATTGTTAATGATATCATCGTATAATCAAACCATGTCTAACAAATCAGAATTTTACATCGTTTAGCAGTTGTTTGTTTGGACTAACTGTCGTGCGTATATCTTCACTTGGCTTCGTGTTAGCATAGCGAATATATTGATAGCGTGATAGGTGGCAGGTATTGATGTTAGCAGTTAACATGAAAGATAAAGTATCACAGGTTTCTGATACTTAATTGTCACTGGTCACAAACCCCCTTTGTACTATATAGCTACATTTATCACATAATGTACAGTGTTATCCAGTGAATAAACCCATTTCATATTTTTTGGCTTATCAACCCATGTAATATAACCTACCAGCCATGTGATTGGTTGTAAGTTTCAATTGTTTCAATTGTGACGTCACACTGAGGACAAGTACATGATGTCACAGACTTACGCACTGGAGTGAAAATGGCGGCGTTTTACATTTAAAGGTTGCATTGAAATTGTCGTATACACGAAAAATTGCCACAACTATTGATTATGTGATAAAAATGATCTTACACTCGTTTTCAGTTCATATGAAATTTATGAAACTCGTCACGAATTTTTCATTTTAGCTTGCCAGAGACTCGTTTTATACATCTCATATGAAATGAAAACTCATGAAAGATCCAGTGCTGCGATAGGTATCGTGGTTGTAATATATTAAGAAATGGTCTGTGAATAAAATTATTTAATATTTGAATTTATGTCTTTCCTGATTTATTTCCTTTAATCCATTTAACAGTAACAGAACCATCACATACCTTCACGTACCAAAGTTGTTTTGAAACGATCTTAATCGACAAGTGTACACACATATATACGGTCATATACATGTACGTACTGTACCTGCAGAGGAAATGTTAACAAAGTAGCCCTGTTACCAGTTACTTGTTTATTACCGGGTAACAGGTACATGTTCGTATCACTAGTCAACCGTGAACATGCTAAATGTCCACACAAATCGTAACAGACACAATTAACACAGGTAAGAACCAGTTGGTTTTAGATAACTGTCAAATCATCGATGAATTCTAATTGGCGATGAACTAGTAATGAACCTGTCAGTACAGCCCCCTGAATGACATTTTAATCATATATAACACGCACTTAGGATATAAAAGAAGTGCAAAAAGATACCAATTGGATGTTAATCACGTATACCAATAGAATACGATGTGTCTTATTTCTCTCGAGCCATCGGGATTGTTTTTTTTATACCGTAACACTGATCAACTGGTCTTACCATCTCGCACATAAGTACGCGTTTTTATCGCACAACAGGACGGTTGATTGTTGAATCGCCTTGTTGTGTAAACTGTGTGCGGAGGTAGTGCGCACAGTAATGTTGTTGCGATGTGCGGTCACATAATTGTAACAGTTTACAGCATGTACACAATCGATTTTGTAATGCAGACAGCATTGCTGACCCCGGTTCAACAGATATCTTTGTTGATCATTGTTTTGATGACCCAGTTTACAAAGACAACCTTGCTGACCTTGTTTTGGTTACCCCGGTTGGACAGACAGCTTTGACTTTTGTTTTGGTTACCTAGGTTAGACAGACAGTTTTGTTGACTTTTGTGTTGGTTACGTTGGTTGGACAGACAGCTTTTTATATCTTTGTTTTAGTTACCTAGGTTGGACAGACAGCTTTGTTGACTTTTGTTTTGGTTACCCCGGTTGGACAGACAGCTTTTTCTAACTTTATTTTGGTTACCTAGGTTATACAGACAGCTTTGTTTACCTTTGTTTTAGCTACCTAGGTTGGACAAACAGCTTTGTTGACCTTTGTTTTTGTGTGACTTAGTCAAAGGATAATGACCTAATAATGAAAATATTTAAGGAGAGCTTCTTCTCGTTCCTCTTTGTCGTCGTTTAGCATTGAATTAAAGTTCAAATTATATTTTTGCCTTTTGACAGTATGGTACCCGTAGACCGTATGTGTTGATGATGCGATACCTATTCCTATCAGTGTTGAGGCTAATGTATACACGGTCCTTGTTTTGTCACTGCAGTATTATCTGTTTCCACGTAATACATCTGACGTGTGTTCTGTCCTGGTATGTTGCGATTATAGTATATGTTTCATTTGTGATAATGCTGACTAATATTCTGGTCCTATTCTGTTAACGCTGACTAACATTTTGCTCTTATTGTGGTAACGCTGACTAATGTTCTTGTCCTATTGTGCAAACGCTGACTAACATTGTGATCCTATTGTGTTAACGCTGACTAACATTGTGATCATATTGTGCAAACGCTGACTAACATTGTGATCTTATTGTGTTAACGCTGACTAACAATCTGGTCCTATTGTGTTAACGCTGACTAACATTGTGATCCTATTGTGTTAACGCTGACTAACATTGTGATCCTATTGTGTTAACGCTGACTAACAATCTGGTCCTATTGTGTTAACGCTGACTTACAATCTGGTCCTATTGTTTTAACGCTAACTAACATTCTGGTATTATTGCATTAACGCTTACTTAGACTCTGGTCTTATTGTGTTAAAGCTTACTAAGTATCTGGTCATATTGTGTTAACGCTGACTAACATTCTTGTCCGATTGTGTTAACGCTGACTAACAATATGGTCCTATTGTTTTAACGCTGACTAGCATTCTGGAATTATTGCGTAAGCGCTTACTAAGACTCTGGTCTTATTGTGTTAAAGCTAACTAAGTATCTGGTCCTATTGTGTTACAGCTTACTAAGACTCTGGTCCTATTGTGTTAAAGCTTACTAAGACTCTGATCCTATTGCGTTAACGCTTACTAAGTCTCTGGTCCTATTGTGTTAACGCTTACTAAGACTATGGTCCTATCGCGTAAACGCTTACTAAAACTCTGGTCCTACTGTGTTAAAGTTTATTAAGACTCTGGTCCTATGGTGTTAAATCTTACAAAGTACATGTATCTGGTCCTATTGTGTTAACGCTTACTAAGACTCTGGTCCTATTGTGTTTAAGCTTACTAAGCATCTGGTCCTATTGTGTTAACACTTGCTAAGTCTCTGGTCCTATTGTGTTACAGCTTACTAAGTATCTGGTCCTATTACTCTGGTCCTATTGTGTTAACGCTTACTAAGACTCTGGTCCTATTGCGTTAACGCTTACTAAGACTCTGGTCCTATTGTTTTAAATCTTACAAAGTACATGTATCTGGTCCTATTGTGTTAACGCTTACTAAGACTCTGGTCATATTGTGTTAAAGCTTACTAAGACTCTGGTCCTATTGTGTTAAATCTTACAAAGTACATGTATCTGGTCCTATTGTGTTAAAGCTTACTAAGCATCTGGTCCTATTGTGTTAACACTTGCTAAGTCTCTGGTCCTATTGTGTTACAGCTTACTAAGTATCTGGTTCTACTTTGTTAAAGCTTACTAAGACTCTGGTCTTATTGCGTTAACGCTTAATAAGACTCTGATCCTATTGTGTTAGAGCTTACTAAGACTCTGATCCTATTGTGTTAAAGCTTACTAAGACTCTGATCTTATTGTGTTAAAGCTTATCAAGACTCTGGTCGTATTGTGTTAAAGCTTACTAAGACTCTGGTCATATTGTGTTAAAGCTTACTAAGACTATGATCTTATTGTGTTAAAGCTTATCAAGTCTCTGGTCGTATTGTGTTAAAGCTTACTAAGACTTTGATCTTATTGTGTTAAACCTTATCAAGTCTCTGGTCGTATTGTGTTAAAGCTTACTAAGACTCTGATCCTATTGCGTTAAAGCTTATCAAGACTCTGGTCGTATTGTGTTAAAGCTTACTAAGACTCTGGTCCTATTGTGTTTAAGCTTACTAAGCATCTGGTCCTATTGTGTTAACACTTGCTAAGTCTCTGGTCCTATTGTGTTAATGATCCTATTGTGTTAGAGCTTACTAAGACTCTGATCCTATTGTGTTTAAGCTTACTAAGACTCTGATCCTATTGTGTTCAAGCTTACTAAGACACTGATCCTATTTTGTTAACGCTTACTAAGACTCTTATTCTATTGTGTTAAAGCTTACTAAGCCCCTGGTCTTATTGCGATAACGCTTACTAAGACTCTGATCCTATTGTGTTAAAGCTTATCAAGACTCTGGTCCTATTGTGTTAACGCTTACTAAGACTCTGATCCTATTGTGTTCAAGCTTACTAAGACACTGATCCTATTTTGTTAACGCTTACTAAGACTCTGATTCTATTGTGTTAAAGCTTACTAAGACTATGGTCTTATTGTGTTAAAGCTTACTAAGCCCCTGGTCTTATTGCGATAACGCTTACTAAGACTGTGGTCCTATTGTGTTAAAGCCTAATAAGTCTCTGATCCTATTGTGTTAACGCTGACTAACATTCTTGTCCGATTGTGTTAACGCGGACTAACAATATGGTCCTATTGTTTTAACGCTAACTAACATTCTGGTATTATTGCATTAACGCTTACTTAGACTCTGATCCTATTGTGTTTAAGCTTACTAAGACTCTGGTCTTATTGTGTTACAGCTTACTAAGTATCTGATCGTATTGTGTTAAAGCTTAATAAGTCTCTGATCCTATTGTGTTAAAGCTTACTAAGTATCTGATCATATTGTGTTAAAGCTTACTAAGTTTCTGGTCCTATTGTGTTAACGCTTACTAAGACTCTGGTCATATTGTGTTCAAGCTTACTAAGACTCTGATCTGATTGTGTTCAAGCTTATCAAGACTCTGTTCCTATTGTGTTAACGCTTACTAAGACTCTGATCCTATTGTGTTAAAGCTTACTAAGACTCTGGTCCTATTTTGTTAAAGCTTAATAAGTCTCTGATCCTATTGTGTTAAAGCTTGCTAAGTCTCTAATCCTATTGTCTTAAAGCTAACTAAGTCTCTGATCCTGTTGTGTTAAAGCCTACAAAGTAACTGGTCCTAATGTGTTAAAGCTTACTAAGTCTCTGGTCCTATAGTGTTTAAGCTTACTAAGTCTCTGGTCCTATTGTATTGAAGCTTACTAAGTCTCTGGTCCTATTGTGTTAACACTTACTAAGTCGCTGGTTCTATTGTGTCAAAACTGACTAAGTATCTGTTCCTATTGCGTTAACGCTTGCTAAGTCTCTGGTCCTATTGTGTTAAAGCTTACTAAGACTCTGGTCCTATTGTGTTAAAGCTTACTAAGACTCTGGTCCTCTTGTGTTAACGCTGACTATCATTCTGGTCCTATTGTGTTTAAGAGTGCTAAGACTCTGGTTCCATTGTGTTAAAGCTTAATAAGACTATGGTCCTATTGTGTTAAAGCTTACTAAGCCTCTGGTCTTATTGCGATAACGCTTACTAAGACTCTGATCCTATTGTGTTCAAGCTTATCAAGACTCTGGTCCTATTGGGTTAAAGATTATTAAGTATCTGGCCATAATGTGTTAAAGCTTATCAAGACTCTGGTCCAATTGTGTTAACGCTTACCAAGACTCTGATCCTATTGTGTTCAAGCTTACTAGGACTCTGGTCCTATTGTGTTAAAGCTTAATAAGTCTCTGATCCTATTGTGTTAAAGCTTACTAAGTATCTGGTCATGATGTGTTAAAGCTTACTAAGTCTCTGGTCCTATTGTGTTAAAGCTTACTAAATATCTGGTCATAATGTGGTAAAGCTTACTAAGTCTCTGGTCCTATTGTGTTAACGCTTACTAAGTCGCTGGTTCTATTGTGTTATAGCTTACTAAGTATCTGGTCATGATGTGCTAAA